CCCCTGAGTATCGATTTGGATTTGTTAAGTTTTATTATTCATTTTTGAGTTTAAAAATCTATTACTAGCCATCGACTATTAGCTTGTAAACGAAGTTTTGATCCTTCCTCAAATTCCTAATTAAATTCCTAATATCTCAGCTCCTAATAAATATATTTAAATGTAATTTTAAATGGATTATTCTCAAAAACTTGCACGCTTAATGCTAAAATTATGGAGTTATTCGGCGATTAGTGACAAAGTTATAGCAAAAAGAATGCGCGAGGGCAATTTTTTACCTCTAACGAGGGAACTATAACTAAACTATAGCTATAACATCTCAGATCGACTCCAAAATATTACAGGTGGGAAAGAACATCACAAAATAAGAATTTCCTGAAGCTTTTAGTTGCTAAATGCTAGAAATAACTGAAATATAAGGTTTCAAAGTCTTAGCTTAAAATTAAACATTTTCGGGGATACACAACAGCTTTTAAAGGGAACTCTCACACGCACCGGACAGGTAACCAGATGGTCGAGTGGTTAGGAGCCCGACCTGGTAGTCCAGGGGTCTCTGGTTCGGCTCCGTCCCAGATTCTTTTGCTTTCTTGCAAAATCAGATGATTTGTCTCTATCGTTCAATTTTTTTGCCTCGGCTTTGTGGAGAAGACAGAAGACAACGTTCAGCTTCGCTTCTTGCCGAGTCAGAGAAAACAGCTATCAGAGTTGACTCCAAATTCATCGACGACCATCTGAAGCGTTGAAAGATGCAGACTGGCAAAAACGGAGATCTTATGCGCATGCAGTGTGCCAGTTGACGGGCGATTACAGAATCCGATAGAAAACGCACATTCTGTGGTTTTGCAAAAGAAGCACGGGACGGAGCCGAACCAACGACCATTGGACTACCAGGTCGGGCTCCTAACCACTGGGCCACAAGACTGGTGTCTGGTGCGTGTGAGAGTTCCCTTTAAAGAGTGTATCGGAAAAAGTTTAATTTTAAGCTAAAACTTTGTAACCTTATATTTCAGTTATTTCTAACATTTAGCAGGTAAAAACTACAGAAATTTCTTATTTTGTGATGTTCTTTCCCACCTGTAATTTTGGAGTCGATCTGAGTTATAGTTTAGTTATAGCCAGCGACCTTTGGGTTACCTGGTCGGGTTCCTAACCACTCGGACACTTGGCTATCCATTTGATGTGAGAGTGCCCTTTAAAGGCTGTCATGTATCCGCAAAAATGTTTAATTTTAAGCTAAAACTTTGAAACCTTATATTTCAGTTATTTCTAACATTTAGCAACTAAAAGCTTCAGAAATTTCTTATTTTGTGATGTTCTTTTCCACCTGTAATTTTGGAGTCGATCTGAGATGTTATAGCTATAGTTTAGTTATAGTTCCCTCGTTAGAGGTAAAAAATTGCCCTCGCGCATTCTTTTTGCTATAACTTTGTCACTAATCGCCGAATAACTCTATAATTTTAGCATTAAGCGTGCAAGTTTTTGAGAATAATCCATTTAAAATTACATTTAAATACACTGATTCTACGCTGAGATATTAGGAATTTAATTAGGAATTTAAGAAAGGATCAAAACTTCGTTTACAAGCTAATAGTCGACGATGGAGACGATAGTTTTTACGGTAATTTTTCATTTCAAGCCAGTTTAACTAAATGCATTTCAAAATTTTAGATTATTATCAAATTAAAAGAAATTAGATCAAAATCTTAGCAAATACAAGAAAAATTTACCATTTTTTACAATTAAAAAATTAGATCGATCAATAAAAGCTGAAGAAAATGAATGAATCAGAGTTATTTGTGCACAAAAGAAGCCACTTTTAACCTTTTGAAAGTGGCTCGTAAAAGAGAGGAAAAAGTAAATAAACAAAGCACTTTGACACGTGATTGCGTTCTCTTTCTTCACTATTTCATGAAAAATTGGCTACATCTTTGGAAAATGTTTACAATAGAATATCATTAGTGCTTAATTTGACGCTTTGATTTGGTGCTAATTCTGAACTGAAATCAGTTTTGAGAAAACTTGATTCTATGTAAAATTACGAGTGCGAATAGCTCTCCGACGAACAGAAAAACGATAAAATAAGTATAAAGGAATAATTTAAACTCTTAATATAACCAAAAATTACTCATCATCTGAATCAATCACTCAAATCTTTCCAAATTTCACACTCATTGCTTCTTCATCATCTAGAGTTTCATCATCTACTCGTGGATTTTTCTTTCACTATTTCTCTTCCATCTTCATCCATTTGATGGTAAAATTCATGCCGATTTTCGTCCATGTTTCTTCCTTTTCCAACAGTTTTTCGTTAAGATAAAGAATCAAAATTTATAATGTGACAGCTAGATTTCCATTGCAAGTCATCTTTGTCATCTAGACTAGACATCTAGACATCTAGACATCTAGACATCTAGACATCTAGACATCTAGACTAGACATCTAGACATCTAGACATCTAGACTAGGCATCTAGACATCTAGACATCTAGACATCTAGACATCTAGACTAGGCATCTAGGCATCTAGACATCTAGACATCTAGACATCTAGACATCTAGACATCTAGACTAGACATCTAGACATCTAGACATCTAGACTAGGCATCTAGACATCTAGACATCTAGACATCTAGACATCTAGACATCTACACTGACATCTAGACATCTAGCCATCTAGACTAGACATCTAGCCATCTAGACTAGACATTTAGACATCTAGACTAGACTAGACATCTAGAATAGACTAGACATCTAGAATAGACTAGACATCTAGAATAGACTAGACATCTAGCCATCTAGACATCTAGACATCTCAGTGACCACAATAAATTTTTAAGATGACCAACAAATGTGACCATACTTTTCTCACGAGCATCTTGTTGTGGCGGTAAAATTTGTGACGTTTTTCGTTCACTGAATTTTTCACTCTTTTTCAGTTTTTCTACAAGGTAGTCCAAGGGTCTCTGGTTCGGCTCCGTCCCAGATTCTTTTGCTTTTACCACAAAGGTCACAATGAAGTAATTCCAGCTATTCGAATTCTACCAGAGATTTGGGCGAATTCGAGATAACTTCCTCCTCATCTGACATTGTTTAACCTGAAATTAAACTTTGCGTTTTGGGGGTAGTCAATTCTCGGTTTTCACGAGCATCTTTTTGTATGAGCATCTTGTAGTGGCGGGAAAATTTGTGCGATTTTCCGTCCACTGAATGTTTCTCCCTTTTCCGGCAGTGCCACCATGTGCCCGATCACAAACGTGACAATGTCGAAGAAGCAATTCCAGCTGTTCGAGTTCTGCCAGAAGATACTTGGGCTTCGAGATAACTTCCTCCTTTTCCGACATTGTTTAACTTGCCATGAAACTTTTATGACACATATAAAAGCACCAAAAAAATCAAAAGAAAATATAAAATCTAGAAAAGCTCTAAAAGGTTGGCCAAATGTGAATAAACTCTATTTTAAGTTCAAATTCATTTTTACGCAATTCATTTTTATCATTTCAAATAATAAATTTAACAAATAAATACTAAAAGGTGACACTTTAATGGGCAAAAAATGAAATTACCCATTAAAGTGTCATTTTATCATGATAACTTAATAACAAATAATAACAAAGCAAAAAAATCGAGAAAAAAGACTTTATAACATCGAATTCGATTGATGAAAATGAGATCTTTGAATCAGAAATCAGAAATCACCTCTTGCCGAGCTGAAAGACTTCCTTTGTTAGCCGTCACTGAATTTGGTAACGTTTTCAAGCTGTTTTCAAAGTTGTAAAATCTTTTTTCTGAAACTAATGACAAAATCAAAATAGTCACTGATGAAGAATGTGATTTTGAAGACAATGAACAGGATTTTTCTGATATTGATGGCTTTTTCTTGCCTTCATTAGCTCTTTCCCTGAACCTATTCGGTGAGAATGTTTACTATTAATAGCTTAAAGCAAAAAGGACAAAAAAGCAAAAACCTTTGCAGCAAAAGGATTCGAACCAGGGGCAAAACAAGGTGGCGCCTGACACAAGGTGGCGCCTGACACAAGGTGGCGCCTGACACAAGGTGGCGCCTGACACAAGGTGGCGCCTGACACAAGGTGGCGCCTGACACAAGGTGGCGCCTGACACAAGACGTTTATCCACTAGACCACAACCGCACGATCCTTCAAGGCGTGAGGGACTTTATAAGGTACAGTACTGAACAATGAAATATCATATTTGAAAAACGATCGTCACTTTCGCGCGTCTGTAACTCCCTTGTCTTTGAGTTTAAACTTTTAGTGTTATACATTTTCTGAAAGCTCTTTTCAAGGGCTACACAATGGTAATATTAATATTTAGAAATACGGTAAAGACAAGGGAGTTACAGACGCGCGAAAGTGCGAAAGTGTTTTTTCAAATATGATATTTCATTGTCCAGTAGTGTAAGTGCTAAAACTTAAAATATCTTGCGTTCTCTTGCGAGAGCAAAAGTTATGTACATATTCGTGATCAGCATGGCCGATTCTATCGGATCCATTTGGTCTCAGATCAATCCGATCGATCGACCTAAAGGAGTTCTCTTGTAAGCCGTCACTGAATTTGGTCTTTGTTTGGTTTGGTTATTATTATTGAGGTTCAGTGCTTCGTCACTGAAGTTTCAAAACGGCACGAAAGTTTTGATGATTTTGTTAGAAATACAATAGTAACCGTATCTAATTTTTAGCTGCTTCTATGAGAAAGGCCGTTTTTGGCTTTTCTTAGCCTGCAAGGGTTTATCAGGCGAAGAAATTTCGGAGTTAGAACGGATTAAAGGCTAATCAGTCGAGTTGCCAAGAGAAATTTTTCATTGATCATTGAATTTTTTGCTTAAAACTCAAACTTTTTGATACTTTTACGTTTTCCCAAAGAAGCTGATGATGAAATTTGCATATTCTAGTTTAATGCAAATGCAGAAAACGAAAAATTTCTTATAAAGTCGCATATTTTTTCGCATTTTACATGATTTCAGATGAAGTTCACTATTTCGCTAATGCTATTAGCTTTATTTATTCAATATTCATCACCTCTTGAATGTTATTTTGATGTGGAAGAGAAGCCAGAGAGAAATTCGGTAAAGAAAAGGAGTATTTCACTGAGAGACTTTTATTTTAGACTGAACAAGTGCATTGTGTTTGCGGCAGTTATTGTTCTTCTATGTATTACAAGTTTGAAGTGAGTTGGATTCATTTGGATAGTCGCTTTGACAACGGAAAGTCATTCATCTTATAAAATCTGCCATGAGAATCTCGAATTTGCAATCTGCCATGAGAATCTTTCCATTTTTGCAAGATATGGCATTGAAAATTCTTTTCTAAGAGATTTTCTTAATAAAAAACATCATAACTCCTCTCAAATTTGATATTTTTCCTTTCTCTTTTCAGTTTTTAAAATCATAAAACTAGTTTCTACATTTAGCATTTTGCTTTGTTGATAAGTCGATAGATAAGCTGATCTAAGATAAGCCAGAAGCTAGCTGATCTAAGATAAGCTAGATAAGCTAGCTGATCTAAGATAAGCTAGATAAGCTAGCTGATCTAAGATAAGCCAGAAACTAGCTGATCTAAGATAAGCCAGAAGCTAGCTGATCTAAGATAAGCTAGATAAGGTAGCTGATCTAAGATAAGCTAGATAAGCTAGCTGATCAAAATAAGTATACATCATTTTAGAAAGTCTACCTCCGGGATTGTGGCTGTTTGGTTGATGAGAATGGAACAACGTTGCATATTTGCCTGGTGAGTCAAAAGCAAATGTTTAAGCTAGCTTTTGGGCTTTACTTTGTGCTGAAAAACGTCAACTAACACTTTCTGTTTCACTGAGAATTTTAAGAAAGAAGGAAGGAACGAGTTCAATGGTTCAGACGTCGATTGCTGTTCGAGAAATCTCTGCAATGGTGAAGCAATTATAGTAGAAACTGCGCAATCTTACAGTCAACATCTTTCGATTCTAATCTTGTTTTCTTTTCTTCAAAAGGTTTTTCTTTATGATTGATTAATTGATTGATAAAATAAAGAAATATAAGCATTTAAATTTAAATCTAAAACTACACTGAATCAAGCTAAATCCTGTGAACAATTTAATCAAAAATCTTAAAAATTTACCAGAATACACACTTTTTCTCTTCAAACAGAATCTAATCTCAATTTTCTAAAAAGAAAAACTTAAAACTTACTCTTTAAACCGGTTTAGTTACTCAAGTTTTGACAAAGAGAGCTCAAAAATTTCACTCATAAATCCTACAGAATCTTGCACAAGACGAAAAACTTTAAGCAGTTAGACTTGAGCTACAAAAAGAACCTATCCTAGCCTTTAACAGATTACTGTACCCTTTAAAAGCCTTTAACAGATTACTGTACCCTTTAACAGCCTTTAACAGATTACTGTACCCTTTAACAGCCTTTAACAGATTACTGTACCCTTTAACAGCCTTTAACAGATTACTGTACCCTTTAACAGCCTTTAACAGATTACTGTACCCTTTAACAGATTACTGTACCCTTTAAAAGCCTTTAACAGATTACTGTACCCTTTAACAGCCTTTAACAGATTACTGTACCCTTTAACAGCCTTTAACAGATTACTGTACCCTTTAACAGCCTTTAACAGATTACTGTACCCTTTAAAAGCCTTTAACAGATTACTGTACCCTTTAACAGATTACTGTACCCTTTAAAAGCCTTTAACAGATTACTGTACCCTTTAAAAGCCTTTAACAGATTACTGTACCAATTACCACCTGATCTGGCTTGCAAGCTCTGTGCCTGGGCCGAAAGCTTTTCTCATAACAATAAGTTTAGCAACGATTGTTTATATCCGAACAACCTAATATAAGCATTTAAATTTAAATCTAAAACTACACTGAATCAAGCTAAATCCTGTGAACAATTTAATCAAAAATCTTAAAAATTTACTAGAATATACACTTTTTCTCTTCAAACAGAATCTAATCTCAGTTTTCTAAAAAGAAAAACTTAAAACTTACTCTATAAACCGGTTTAGTTACTCAAGTTTTGACAAAGAGAGCTCAAAAATTTCACTCATAAATCCTACAGAATCTTGCACAAGATGAAAAACTTTACGAAGCTTTGTGTAACGAGAAATGCTTAAAATAAAACCGTTTTTGATTCATCCATTTCTTCACGGCCATTTCTTCACAAGCTCTGAGTCCGTTGATGAGCCTAGCTTGTAGACCTTTGGACATTCCTAGCTGGCTGAACCTGAGTTCTGCTTGAGCCTTGCAGGCTTTGAGCCTGGAACAAGCCTGGGACAGGCTTGTCTTGTTTTTGTTTTTGTTCTTTTGTATAAAGGCCGGGACAGGCATTATCAGAAAGCGTTCATGGTTGAGAGATTTTATTCAGATACAGTATAAAAAAATGAAAAGGCAATAGTTATCAAAAACACATGATTGCATTGAATGTAAACCTAACAGCAAACCCAAACATAGTTATCGGAGCAACACCAGGAAGCAGTGTATCCTTTACTGTAGACACAATTGCCCCATCCACACGAGCAAGCCATATTACAAAGACCGGGACGGGCATTACGGGGTTGTTGATGGATTGTTGAAAGGAATTGGTGAATAGATGGATCGTCGGAGATTGAGGTGAGATTTTGGGAGAAGGAGAAGACGGTGAATGAGATGAGAATGATGAGAAGTGAATGAGTGAGAGAAGGCATTTTGGGGAGTGGAAGGAGTAGGAGAAGAAGAAGAAGAGGATTGGATTGATAAGTTGATCGAGTTTGTGGGAACTTTTATAGTAGAAAGTTGTCATTTATTTACCCAATGATTGAGATAAGGCTTGCTTCGATCAAAGACTTCAAAAAGCGGGGGCGAGTTTTGAAATTAGCCGTTCCATGCTTTGTTTTTGATAAGAGGCAAGTTTGTTGAGAAAAGACTAGAGAAATGAATTAGTTTAATGACTGAATGATGTCATTGCGGTTGAAAAAACATAGTATTACTGTAAAATTTGAATGAATCTATACCCAATGAGAAGTAATAAAGCTGCTAAACACTTTTTCTTACTTTTAAACCATTAAAAATTATCAAATTATCAAATTGGAAGATCTTCAACTTTCAAGGATCCTCGGAAATTTCCCGACAATATCGAGTCGGGCAAATGAATCGATTTGCTCTTGACTTTTGGATGAGTGGTGCATAAGTTTGTTCCCGTTTACCGTTTGTTTTGGTGCCTTGCGGGTGCATGGGTTTGTTCAAAATTCGGGTAAGAATTGATTCCGAATACAATCGACTTTGAATACAAGAATCGACCCGATACAAGAATTTTGAAATTCTAAAACACACCTTTAGTTCCTTTAGTACTCATATAGACAAAAACCTGGATTACTGTACTTTTTCTAAAAATAAGTATTATATAGGCTTATTCAGTGCCAAGAATGTGCAAGAAAACCAAGATTCAAAGTTCATTGAGTTCAGAGATGATCTCTAAATCTACAAGTCTAAAGTAAAATTCGGTTTTTTATTGTTTTATTTAGACTGACTTGAAAGTTTACAGTAATACTATGTTTTTTCAACCGCAATGACATCATTCAGTCATTAAACTAATTCATTTCTTTAGTCTTTTCTCAACAAACTTGCCTCTTATCAAAAACAAAGCATGGAACGGCTAATTTCAAAACTCGCCCCCGCTTTTTGAAGTCTTTGATCGAAGCAAGCCTTATCTCAATCATTGGGTAAATAAATGACAACTTTCTACTATAAAAGTTCCCACAAACTCGATCAACTTATCAATCCAATCCTCTTCTTCTTCTTCTCCTACTCCTTCCACTCCCCAAAATGCCTTCTCTCACTCATTCACTTCTCATCATTCTCATCTCATTCACCGTCTTCTCCTTCTCTCAAAATCTCACCTCAATCTCCGACGATCCATCTATTCACCAATTCCTTTCAACAATCCATCAACAACCCCGTAATGCCCGTCCCGGTCTTTGTAATATGGCTTGCTCGTGTGGATGGGGCAATTGTGTCTACAGTAAAGGATACACTGATTCCTGGTGTTGCTCCGATAACTATGTTTGGGTTTGCTGCTAAAGAGTTGGCATTGGTTTTACGCATGTTCTTGATAACTATTGCCTTTTCATGCTTTGTATAATATTCTGAATAAACTCTTTTAACAATGAGTAATTTTTGTTGAACAGTTTTAAAGTTTCGAAACCTTTTGATTAAGCTTTATTCAGCACATCAAAAAAGAAATCGCTTGAAACAGAAAATCGTAAAGAAAAGCGATTCCGAAATGCCTTCCGGCACTTTTTTCACTATTTTTCTGGGTATTTTGGTCCGGTATTGCCAGTTAAACGTCACCAAAGCAATACATTTGAATGTCTAAAGGGAATAGGATAAAAGCTTCAACCTTTGGAACAAGCAAAAAAATCTTTCGAGCAGGATGAGATTCGAACTCACGCGGGGAAACCCCATTTGATTAGCAGTCAAACGCCTTAACCACTCGGCCACCTGCTCACGGGAACCAGGGTCTTCAGAAAGGTTAATGAGACAAATTCAAGGAAAAAAAGGTAAGCAAACCGGGTCCTCGTCTATAAAAATTCCAATAAAATTGGAAATTTTATAGAAAATTTCTTAAACAATCTCTAAGCATCTTAGTAAAGTCTGCTGTAGAAATAGGCCCAAAGACAAGTTTAGATTTTAGAAGAGAATAAATTACCGTATTTACTCGAATAGAAGACCGGCCTCGATTATAAGACCGTCTCGAATAGAAGACGGGGTCTAGGGGATGATCGAAAAAAATAGAAGACCGTCTCGAATATAAGACCGGTCTTATATTCGAGGTACCCTGTTTTCTATTCTGCGCGAAAGTGGACGTACTCAAATACGGGAAAAGAATAAGGAAATTTACCCAATAGGGTAAAAATATTATGGTTTCATTCAATAGCACTATTTTTTTTTGGTACTTTTCTACATCTTGTATTAATAATTTTTTTTTTGGTGCTTTTTCATTTTACCTCCGCCATCTCCAAATTTCCGTTATACCCCTCCATTTTGACTCTGATAATTTTTAATTATTTGATTATCTGATCATTTTTTATCTAAAAATTGGCGGGGTATAACGGAAATGTGGAGTTGGCGAAGGTATATCGAAAAAGTAGCATTTTTTTTTAGGTGATGGGAGGTGCTACAAAACGGAAAGCCTACAGTGCCGCCTTTAAACTCGAGGCCATTCGTTTTTCAAAGCAAAACTCGAAAGAGGCAGCGGCTCGACAGTTTAATGTGACTCCAAAGATGATTCGAGACTGGACGACAAAAGAGGAGTCGCTGCAAAAGGAATCGAAAGGAGCGAAGCGGTTAAAAGGAGGAGGGCGAATGCTTAAATTTCGCGCAGTCGAAGAGACCACTTATCGATGGATCAAAGAAAAACAAGAGGAAAAGCTAAAAGTTTCTCGACGCATGGTTCAGGACAAAGCCAAGGAGTTTTTTCGCGAATCGAACCTAGATTTCACAAAGTCTTTCTCTGCAAGCAATGGATGGCTTGCGAAGTTTTTGAGACGGCAAAAAATGACAACAAGGAGTCCAACAGCGAGGATGATCAGATTGTTTGTTTCCGCAATGGGGAAACTGTTGAGAGTGGTCGATTCAAGCTGGATATTGCAAGATTGGAGGGAAGATTAGCAAAACTTCGTCAAGATATCGACTCCGACGAGGATAGAAACAATGGATATGAGAGTGAAAACGATTCAATTTCTAGCGCAGAGGGACTTGATGGAATTTTGCAAGATCCGGACTTAATAGAGGATGAGATTGAATCAAGTGATAATGAAGAATAATGTTGTTATTACTGCTTTTTTATGTTCTTATTAATTGTTGTTAATGTTGTTATTAAAGGTTGTTGTTGATAAATTTTGTTGTTAAATGTTGCAATAAATTTCTACAAAAAGGTTTTTTTTAAACGCTGGTTACTTTCCTGAAAATTTTCGTGAATGCAAATAATAAAAGACCGTCTTGAATAGAAGACCGGCCTCGAATAGAAGACGGGGTCTAGGGGGGTGATTGAAAAAATAGAAGACCGGTCTTCTATTCGAGTAAATACGGTAATAAGCTTGTTATATTCGGTCTTTGAATCTTTGCTCCAATAAATTTTGCTATTGAGACCATAAACATTTATTGGAATTTTTTAATACTTTAAAAACAGCTTAATACTCACAAATTACCGCTTTAACACTACAATAACCATAAAGAAGTGTTTTTCGGAAGTTTTCCAAAAAAAGCAAAATATTTGGTGCCGAGCGGAGTCGAACCTGCGCGCACCGGTTTTATAGTCTAACACGCTATCCCCTGGGTCGTCGGCGCTTCTTCTGGCGGTCGACGTGGGGCCCTCTTATCGGCGAGGTCCCAGTTTGCTTACCTTTTTTTTCCATGGATCTATCTGATTAACCTTTTTGAAGACCCTGTTTCCCGTGAGCAGGTGGCCGAGTGGTTAAGGCGTTTGACTGCTAATCAAATGGGGTCTCCCCGCGTGAGTTCGAATCTCATCCTGCTCGAAAGTTTTTTTTGCTTGTTCGAAAGGTTGAAGGTTTTATCCTACTCCCTTTAGACATTCAAGTGTATTGCTTTGGTGACATTTAACTGGACCAAAATGCCCAGATGATCTGCATTGGTTTGAGATTCTCGTTCAACTGATATCTCTTTCTGAGTGTGTAGCTACTTTGGTAACGTTTACGGCGTTTCGGCGGTCGTTTATTGAAATGAGTAAATTTAACGTCTAAATCTGTACTTTAAGCCTCTTTAAAGCGTACTCAGGTTACCGTAACTAGCAAGTTTTTTGTACAGTAACCAAACTATTTTTTATAGTATAGTAATCCAACTACGTACTGTAACATCAACTAACCTGGATGAAAGAAGCACAAGTTCAAAGATCAAACCATAAAACTCTTACTAGTTAGAAGGATTACGGTGGCTAGGGCCCGCTTTAGACGTTTGGAAACGTCTGGAAACGTTTGAAAACGTCTGGAAAACATTTGGAGACGTCTAGAAATGTTTGAAAGCGTCTGGAAACGTTTGGAAACGTCTGGAAACGTTTGGAAACGTCTGGAAAACGTTTGGAAACGTCTGGAAAACATTTGGAAACGTCTGGAAACGTTTGAAAACGTTTGAAAACGTCTGGAAAATGTTTGAAAACATCTGGGACGTTTGGAAACGTCATTCAATAATAGTTAAAATAGTTAAAATCGAACACGAAAAGCCTTAAATTTCCAACGAGAAAAAAGGACCGACCGATGTTTTTGTTCTAGTCTAGTTGGAATACAAAGAACACATTAGAAAAGTACTGGCATAGCAAAAAAATAGTAAGAGCTATAGATTATGTAATAAACAGGATGATAACCTAGTTTACTGTAGACTTGAGCTACAAAAAGAACCAATCCTAGCCTAACCCTGATCTGGCTTACAGTTACCTTGACCTGGCTCTGCAGAGCCGAATATAACAAGAGTTGTTTCGGCCTAGGCACAGAGCTCTCTGCCTAGGCCGAAACAACTCTTGTTATATTGAGTTTGTGGGTATGACTAAGCATCAAATCGGGCTGAAACTTTGGCACAAAAAGGTAACTCTTTACGTTATGAAGTTAAGAAAAAGTTATGGCTTAAATCGGGAATCAGTGACGTCATACCCATCAATGTTATACCCATGAATGGCCATTGACACCCATAAATGGCCAAGGAAGTTTTAAAATAAAAGACTGATACAGACAACAAGTAGCTATCAATACAAAAAACTACTTCTAAAAACAGTAAAAGTTTTTTAAAAGCCTTTAACAGATTACTTTACCAATTGCCACCTTATCACTTTTTCAAATTCCTTTCTCCTTTTGTTCTTCAAATCTTTTCCATTTCTCACTCTTCAAACCATTGCTTTTTCATTTAAAATCGCGTTTTTTTGGTTTCCATTTCATCAATTCTCATTTGAAACTCATCACAAAAGGCTAAAGACCTAAAAATTTGATCCCAAGAGTGCTCTATTGTGAAATGACTGATTCATCAACTTCAATAGCCGGTTTTGGACTTGATAAGGGAAAGAATTTCCTATAAAATGATCAATTAAGCGAATTCAATTAAGCGAATAGTGTTCACACTGAAAAAATGAATACAAATCAGTGCCAGCCACCAATTTCTACCGTAACCCTTCATCCGAAC